CAGTTCCAAAATCCTACTGAACCACTAAAACAGAATCTTAGGGATCAATATCATACGCATTTGGAAGAAAAGAAGTTATGCAGGGAGGAAAAAAAGAATGACAGAAAGAACATTGATGAGTGCAATATTTGTGTATGTTACGATGTACAAGCCATTATGCAAAGTCCTAACGGTGAAACATCAGCATTCTACTACAAATCTAAATTAAATAGTTACAATTTCACTATGACGGAATTAAAAAAAATTCACGAAAACGATGTGTCAACAATGGACATCTCTAAAGGCTATGAAAATGTCCATTGTTATTTTTGGGACGAGACTCAAGCGAAAAGAGGCGCTACAGAGATAGGGAGCTGTGTTTTCCATTATTTACAGATTGTGTCTGATAAAGCTGGTGACAGGGAAGTAAATATAACATTTTTTTCCGATAACTGTTGTGGGCAAAACAAAAATAAATATCTCACATGCTTATACTTATACGCTGTTGCCAATCTAAAAAATTTGTCGTCGATAACTCACAAATATCTCATAAAAGGGCACACTCAGAACGAAGCTGATAACGTGCATAGTTTGATACAAAAGCAGATAGCTAGAGATAGGAAAACTGGCCCAATATACTCTCCTGTTCAATAAATCTCAGCAATCAAAAGAGCAAGGAAAACTGGTGCTCCATTTATAGTTCACAGTTTAACTTACAATGTTTTTTACGATCTTCAGAAATTACAAGAAAATTGGGGCTATAATTTTAATACAGATGAACAGAAAAATAATCTTGTATGGAATAGTATTATAAGTACTGAAATTTACCAAAGAAGACCCATTTTCGTTTTATTACAAGTGCTCATATAACGATGAGTTTAAAATAGTTAATGTTCGTGATAAGAGGAAGAGAATGCCAAATATTAAAGAAATAACCATGCAGAAAGCGTACCTCCAGGCACTTCCACTTCGTTGTGCTAAAAAGAATGATCTTAAGGATCTTATTAATAAACAATTGATAGATCCATACTATGCGTCTTATTATAACAACATGTTGTCTTAATATTACTAATCTTTGGATTTCAACATTATTTTGTGTAGACTGAGTACATAGTCAAAGTACAATAATTAAGTTTTGAGACTGAATTTTATTTTTAGAATTGAATTTTTTTGTTATGTGCAGTTTTCTAAGTTTAGAATGGAGGAATGAATGTTTTTTTGTTATGTATAATTTTTTAAGTTTACTGTGGAGATATTGTGATATACAATTAAGTAATAAGTAAACGACAATGTAAAAATTGAGGAGTTACTACTTGTAAGTTTTATTTGGAATTAAAAGTTAACTAATAAATGTGATAATATTAAAGCTATCTTATTATGTTTAATCTTGTTTTGAATTTTTTTTAGATTATTGTTATATTTTGCACTGATTAATAAGTATTACTATTTATTTTACCTGATATTTAATTATAAAAACAGAAACAATAAATTCAAACAACGGTTGGGATTTGTGATATAGAGTACCATTTAAGGTCTATCTCACATAGACGTGCCAGGCCCGTGCTCGTCACCTGATCGGCATATGCCATGCTTTTGGTAAATATTCACACTATTCGCGCTCGTAGCATGCTTTCAGCGGTATTTTGCACAGGCAGTCGGTTAGACGTGTCGGTGGGTAGTTGTGCAGTTGTAATGTTTTCCACGGCAACTTTAGTAAAAATTGCATTTTTTACTTTAGATGCCGAAGAAGAAGAGAATATGAGAGATAAAGTTAAAAAAGGAGGTTTTGGATATATCCAATGATTAAGAAAAGAAAAATAGAAGGAGGATACTATACCTTGTATAAAGAACTCATGGATAATGAGTCAAAATTTTATATATATTATAGAATGTCAATTGCCGAATTTCAGCAGAATTACCAGCAGAATGCGATTTTGAACAAATTGCCAAAAAATTTTGGTTGTCGTGGAATTTTCCCAAGGGCATTAGGAGCCCTAGATGAAAAGCACATCAAAATTATAGCTCCAATCAATAGTGGTTCCAGTTACTTTAACTACAAAAAGATTTTTTCTGTAATTCTACTTGCTTTAGTAGATATGTAGTTCAACTTGCTCTAGGAAATCACGATAAACCATTTTTGCCCTTAAAAAACTCACTCCCTCCATTTTCCGAACTCAGGTCGCCCGTAAATTATTTTTTCTTTTATTTATGTCATATCATCTTTCTTTTCCAACGAGTTTGACCCTACTATTATTTTTTTTGTTTGAAATATTATCGGCAGTGGTCTATTACCTAGATAAAATATAGTGTTTTATTTACCTATTTTAATATTTTCTCCAATATCCCACCATACCTGAGACTTATGTGCTGCATCTGCATACAGTCGATTCATAAAATCGTATAATTCACTCCTCTCACGAACTAATTCTATTAAAAATTCATCAGTATCATGTGAAAATAATTTTTTTCGCACCATTTTGCCTGTCGAAACTCGTCTGAAGTATTCACACTATGTAGGACTGTGCAAGGAATGTGCCAGGCATGGGCTAGGAAAATATTGTTTGAAAAGATTGTTCGATGCCGGCACGGACCGTTCCCACTCCGAGCACTTGTAGTGAGAACGGACCGTCGCTAAACCCATTTAAATAACGTTAAAGTAATTTTGCACGTCTCGAGCAGGGCACATGCCGAGCACATGCCTGGCACTATAGTGAGAATAGGCCTTTACGATTAAAAAATTAAACAGTGGCAGGTACACTAATAATAATAAGGGATCAACCTTTAATAGTTCCTTATTTCTGTTATGGTTTTTTTATACTATACGGGACTAACTCGAAAGTAGTTTTTTTCCATTCCTTGTAATTAATAGAATTTATTTATTATTATTTTTCCTCATTGTAATTTTAGTGCAGTTATCAAATAACAAATCTGCCAAATTTCATATTTATAACTTAAATAATAAGCACGTTATTTGAAAAAATAGCTGTAATGTCGGATACCAGAATCTATTAAACGCGATTTCCCACAAAATCTACTTTTTGAATTGTGCCTCTATATTACTGGAGGGTGCGATATGTAAATGATAGGTTTTTTATTTCTGTTTTTTTTTTTTCATTCTCTTCTGCTTAAAATTACTTCAAATATTTGTTATATTTTTCTATTTATGACTGTTTAATTATGCTGTTATTTTTTGTGTAATTACAAGAAAACAAATTGTGCACTCAAAACTGTTTGAGAGTTTAGCGTCTTAATAAAATCGGCTTTTACACATGTAAACATTAGGTAGATTCCTTCATAAAGAGAATCCCTGTCCTACGCAAATCAAGCTTACATTATACAATTGTAATTTTTTTGTTTTGTTAATAAGAACCTGCACCCAAAATTTATCAAAAATATGCATCTACGTGGGTCGTTTAGGTATGTATGTTTCAACTTTCTAGTGTTGAGTCAATTCTTATGATGAGATCCTGCTGGCGCCATTGAGCTTTGGGCACGCGATGTCTTTCGTTTTTCGCTTTAAATTTTTTGTTTTGCAATGCGCGAACGTTATTCTCTGGGTGCTATAACCATTGACGTAACTTGAGAGATTTGAGTACATTTTCCCGTAAAAAATAAAAAAATTCTCATATACATCCGAGAGATACACTGAAATTAAAAGAAAAGGGAGGTTTATGAGAGATCAAATTTGGGTGCATCATTTGCGTGCACATTCTTTATATTATGGCCATATTTCTGGTAAACAGGGTTACCATAAAATGTTATTGCTATGATATAATGTTGGGATATACTCGTATATATATATATATATTAATATATATATAATATATAGATATATAATATATATATTATAATCATCTATGAAATCTACCTTAATTTTATTAATATTTTCTGCATGGTTTATATTACCTTAATTTCGTTTTGTCTATTTTCTGTTATGGTATACATGTTTTCCAATCCTTAAATTATTCTAATGACTATTAAATTACACATCTTCATAAAAATATCTTTTTATTTTCGTTCCCTATTTCGTTCGCCATTTTATATACGATTATGTTATGATTTAAATATCCACTAGTTCCCCTTTATCTTAGCTTTTCTGATGGTTTTCTGAAAACAACAGAAATCTTTACGGCTGTCCTCTTTCTCCTAGGAAGTTTAGTATATCTAGTGGCTTTATGTTTGGTGCAAATCTTTGTTTTCATGTGATTTCGAATTTTAGCCCTCTTGAGTTTCTTAGGGTGCAGCAGGTTAAAAAAAAATATATGTAGAGAGGTGTAATTCATTTTTATGATTGTCTCCGATGATTTTATTACCAGCGGTAAGACCTAGATATTTAACCTCTGTATTTGATCCAACATTACTCCCATCCATTGTGGCAGTTTTTAAGGTCTTTAACTCACTTAAACTGAAACTTATATTAGCTGCTCAATACTACACATTTAACTGCTACTGTCACTTTATACTATATTTCCATGACAAAAAAGGAAAAGATTACGAATTTGAAGAGAAATTCGGACTCCAACAATAAAAACTAAACACTCCTTTACCATCGGTCGGCCATACAGAGAGTGATGTAATTCTCTTCCCCCAATACTTTCTCAGCGATCTAAGTGGATATTTATTTCAGGCGCAATATTTAAGCGGGAAGACGAATTAAAGAAAATACCAAAAAAGCGTCTATGATATATAAACATACCGTAAAATGTGTTTATTATCGACTCCAACAATGCAAAAGATTGAAACAATATTTCGGTGTTTAACATATACGAGGAGATTTCAATATATACCAAAGAATTTAAAAATGCTACAAATGATGGTTATTCTGATATCGTCCTATTAAACAAATTGTGGCGGTTTCAATCTGTAGTACAGGCTTAAAGATGCAAGATTTTTTTCCATAAAAATTTTTGTCAAAACATTTGTTTTAACCAATTTTATGGGTATAAATTATCGTTGAGATACCGTGTATCAATCAATATAAAACAATTAAACTTATACTAAATCTAATTATTATTTTTTAGATTATTCATTGGTCTAGTCACGTTTGCCGCTCTCTGCTCAGCCCGACCAGCTGAGAATGACGCTGACTACGATGAAGAACCAGCACCTCCACCAAAAAAACCAGCGAGGCCTTTAACCAGCAGAAGGAATCCTTTAAGCGGTAGATCTAATGGAAAAGCTGCAAGTAGCACCACTACAACTACGCAAGCACCAGTGGTAAGCATTTGTTTACTTTTGTAAAATATCAGTAGAATTACAGAAGTGAACAAATACCGTGGAAAGTAAATATTGGGATGGCTAGTTACAAACATACTAACGTGTTTGATGAAAAAATTTACTAAAAACTACTTAATTAAACAGGTTGATGTGCACTGTAAATAACAGTTATTTGTTGCGGAGGCAATGTCCAGCAATATCAGAGCATACAAAGGACAATGAGACCTCATCTAGATTTTTGTGTTGCTTTCGTTTCATCTGTGCTAATTTTTTAAACAAATTGTTATCTACTTCCAAAGCTTTTCTTAAAATCGCTTATAGAGTTAAGATTGAATGTAAGGTGGTAAAATGTAACTCTGTTTACGCCTTCTCAAATTCTGTGTAGTTTCATTGCACACTTTTACATATACTGTTTGATTTAAGTTGACGTTTTCAATGAATCTTAAGCCATTCTGGTATAATCAATCCACATTGCAGCAGTTTTATTAATTCTGTATATTCAGTCATGTGAGGGGTTTGCTTTTAACATTAATATATATCGAGTCCATGACTTGCGTATGGCACATATCTAGTTGTTTTCTTGGCTATAGCACTTATGTTTTGTGGACTGATGGTTCTATTTATTTAAAAATAGCAAAGTTCTATACGCTACTTCTTCTTCTAAGTAAACATTCTTAAAATTCAAATTCGATTATTTTCTGACATAAATCTAATGTTTTATCTACTTGAAATACCGTATATCTTAATTAGAAATGTAAATGCGACAAAAAAATAACTTCAGTTAAAAAGTATGTAATGTATCATACATCTGCAGTAATTCTTATTAGATCGACATAATTATTTAATGACTTTTTGATTTAATAAATAAAACGATTAATGTGACATCGGAATCAAAAGAAATAGTTTTACTATGTAGTTAAATATATGCAAAAACTGTTTCTTGATGTTAATCAAACCGATATTAAACAACGTGTAAGTGTAACCGCACACAGTGAAAGGATTATTCAGCAAAGCAAAAGGTTAACAAATACAAGAGCTAAATAATACAATACTTCTTTGATTTACAAAACATATGATAGACTGCATATCTATAAACACGATGTATTGCATTAGATATTTCAATAACAGGGTTATAAAAATAGGAAATAATTTGAGAGCGTGTATTGAAAAAGCAGCTCATTAGAATCTAGGTAAGAAAAATAATTTAAGAGGCACACAACGATCATCATAATGGAATTAACAATTAAAAATGTAGTTATGAAAAGAGAAGGACATAGTACAAGTAATTGTAAAATAGCATAAGGAAAAACAAAGTAATATAACGGGAAGCTTCGAACGAAGCAAAAAGAATTTCAAATCCAACACATTAGCAATAATAAGAAGAGTTTTTTCTACCAGAACAACAGACCATACATAATCAATTTAAACACTTTTTTTTACAAAAGTGCCTTATCAATAGGTACCATTGGATAGGTAAAAAAAGAAATAACTTAATCACAATTGGATTTATTATAAACTGAACGACCGGTCTCAAGTTCAAGAATTATTTTAATTAATTAATTATAAATTATGCCAACATATATAATTCTCTAACACTATTCTGACAATCGTCTGATTAAACGTGTAGCGGGAAACTGGCTACAAGCGGCCCAATGTAGAGAACACTGGAAAGAACTGAGGGTAGGCCTATGTCCAGCAGTGGACGCAATTGGCTGATTGATGATGATGATTCTGTTACATCGTCAGATGTAAGCCTCTCTTAGGTGTGTCCATTCATATCTGTTTTTTTTATTTTTTTGCATCTATTCGTGACCAGCTATTCGCTTGATGTCGTCAGCCCATCTGGTTTGAGGTCTGCTTTAACTTCTCTTATTTGCTCTTGGTGGCAATTCTACAAGTCGCTCAGTCCAACAGTCTTTTAAATATTTGATGGATTCGACCGTTACTTGATGGAAATTCATTTATGTAACAAAAAACACTGAAAACTTTGTTTTACAACTTCCACAAAATTTATTTTAAACTCTTATCACTACAGCTGTTTCGGCTCATTGCCTTTCTCAAGTGATCTATTTTTGGCTTGCGTCTACACTGTATAGTCTCTAATGAAATAGGTTGAGGAGGGGAGAACTGTTTGTCTCAAGTTGGTCATTCAGAATTATATCTGTGTTTTTTAATTTGTTGATTTCCATAGATTCTAACAAAGATAGCTTAAGGCCTTTATTTTGAATGTGAAGAATTTTAAATTTGTCATTAAAAGAATGATTGTGATCTAGAAGGTGAAGTGCGTATGTAGAATCTGTTTTTCTATTATTGAAAGCCTTTTATGTTCTGCTATTTGTTTATTAAAGTTTCTACCATTTTGACCGATGTAAGTTTTTGGGCAGTTGCCACAATTAAGTTTGTACACACCATTGTATAAGTGTTTTTTATTTTGGCTCTTGTTGTTTTTGATATATTTGCCTAGGTTGTTATTTGTTCGAAAAGCTGGTGTTATTCCTTTTCTTTTTTATGTGTTTGGCTATTTTTGTTGATATTTTGCCTGCATATGTAATCGAGCAGAAGGTGCTGGGTTTTTTCTCTGGTGGTGGAAATACTAATTTCAGGGCTTTCTTGTGTAGTTTTTGATTTAACATTTTATTGCCGCCAAGATGGCCGCTGTCGAAGACGTACGGCCAATTGATGGTGAAAACTTGGAAATAAATTTAAATGCTGCGCTAAAAAAGAGTGTAAAATAGTTGTGTGTAAATATTGTTATAGTGTTTTTTCACTCTAGCTGTGCAAAAAGATGTGGATTTGAAACATGTGAGAGAAATATCATAATATGCTGTGACAAAAAAGGCGGTGATACCGAAACAAACGAGATGTCAACTACAGAAGAATTATCAAAACTGAGATTAGAAAATGACCTCTTAAAAAGACTAATTATGGCAATGGAAGACAAAAATGTTGTATTAAAAGAAAACAATAATTTATGCGCCAAAAAGTAAGTTATCTAGAGCAAAAAAACCGCCAAAAAAACTGAATACGAAGGTGTAAATAAACAAGATCAGATAATGGATAACTCTGTTGATAAAAAATTCTCAAGGTCGGTTACCACCTCGTACACAAAAAAAGATCATTCACAGAAGTAGTAGCAAAGAATATAGACGCTTATATATAAACGCTTATATATAAGCGTCTATATTCTTTGGTAGTAGCTCAAACGTCAAAAAGTTTAAGTAGTTCCTGTAAACAGAAGACAAGTGACAACATTAATGTCAACCTCAAAATAAACAAACAACTGAGGTTAATGCGCAAATAAAAAAACATAAAATAACTGAGGAAAGCAGCGATAGTGACTCAGATGGATTCCAAAAAGTTATACACAGGAGACATCGGTACATAACTAAAAAAAATATAGGAACGGCAGTAAGCGATGACGATAGCACAAGTGGTTTTGCAGGGGAAAAGAAAAAAGTGTGGCTATACTTGTATAGAGTGAAGAGAACAACAAAACAAGAGGAGATATGTAAATTTCTAATAGAAAAGAGGAAAATGCAACAAGAGTCTATTATGGTAAAGGAATTGCCAAGTCAAGAAAATATGTTGAAGAGATTTGTTGTATCGGCTCCCTTTGAATATAAGGATGACATGTATAAACCAGAGTTTTGGCCTAATGGTGTTCGCATAAAAAGGTTCCAGAGGCATCGTCATAAGGATTTTCTAGATAACCGAGGTGGAAATTTTTCATAGGAGAAAATAGGATGGAGGATAAAATGGAGGACTATTTGTATATGTAACGGTTAGGAATAAGTAAATAATATTTTCGTTTGTGACACTGTTTTTTTTAAATAATTTTATGTTCACAGAATGTATATTATTTTCTTAAAATAAAGATATTGTTATTGTTATTGTTATTGTTATTATTAATGGTTTGTTCGTTGTATCCGTTGTTTACTGCTATTTGCTTAATGATATTTAATTCTTTGATAATATACAAGGCAAATATCGAGCACACTATTAATTTATTCTTGCCCAAGTACTTTCAATCACTAGATCATCTTCAGGGCATTTCGTCAATTGCGGCCTATCCGACAAGAGTAGAATGTCATAAATATAAAATGGGACATCACGATACACTACACAACTACAAACAAACACTTTAATTTTTTTTTGAAGATAGGCGAAGCTACATGGTGTATAGAAGCCGGAGACAGAATTCTGCCAGAAGCCGGATTAATTAAGAAATCAGTAATAATCGACGCTGTTCAACCCAGAAGCCTGTTGAGTTTAATATTAATTCTTGTAATAGTATTAATCTTAGCTTTCTTCTTCTTCTTCTTCTGGTTCCTATCCGTTTAGGATGTTGGAAATCATATTGGCAATCATAACCTTGCTCGCTGCGGCTCGAAACAGCTCCGTTGAGGATTTCTTAAACCATGTTCTTAAATTCCGCAGCTATGATATTCTCCTTCTACCGGGTCCTCGTTACCTTTGACTTTACCTTGCAATATAGACTGTAGCAGGGAGTAACGGTGCTCATTAATCATAACGTGTCCCAGATATAGCAATTTTATGCGTTTGATTGTAAACACAATCTCTGGAAGTTCGGTGTTACACTGAACGCATGCTCAAGGAATAGGTAAAGAGAACAAAATCTGACTAAAATTAAATTTATTTGCACTAGATGAGTTTTTAAGTTTTCTGTTTTTTAATAAAAATGCAAAAAATTTCTGATAAATTCATTAAATAATATTTCCTTTTAAAAACTTCCAAAGAAAAGGTTATAACGTTAACTAAAAATCTCAGTTTGAAATTTTTGACGTCTTTATATTTTAATAATATTTAAAACAAACATATGAATAATATTATTTATACTTGGCACTACTTACAATGTGAGATTTATTACCTATTAATACATTAAAGTGTGTTTTTTCTGACAGGAAGAAGAAGAAGCTGCCGAAGAAGATTACGATGAGGAGTTACCGGCCGAACAAGAGCCAAGTTCGACAACGGAAGCGCCCAAGAAAAATTTTCTTAAAACTGGAGTAGTTAGGCCATTTAGAAGCAATGACGAACTTCTGGCAGCTTTGAAAAAAAGGAGAGAGCAAGTAGTCCACAGTAAGTTTTATATTACTTATTTAGTATATAAGAGACATATTAAATGTCGAGAATTTTAGTGTATGCCGTAAGTAATTACATGCACACAGTACAGTGTCATCAGAATCTCAAAATATCTAAATAACTTCCTACAACCTTTTTACTTTCTCTATACATAAACAACAGACAAGATAATATTCTTTTGTTTACTAATTTTTGAAGTGGTATATTCAAATACAAGTTTATCTTCTTCTTTAAGTACCATTTGCTTTTTTTTCTTCTATCATATCAATTAAAATCAATCTTCTTCCTCTTCTTCTTCTTCTTTCTTCTTATATGTAGGCTTTAAAGCCCGTTTCTTCTTCACTATGAGCCTCCTAAATTGTTTCAATTATCGCACCATCTTTTTCTTGGTCTACCAATACTTCTTCGTCCATTTGGTGACTTATTTCGTGCTATTCGTACTATCCTATCCTTTTGCATTCTACTAATAGGTTCGTTCCACTCCTGTTTCCGTTTTGTCACCCATCCATTTATGTCTTCTATATTGCATGCTCTTCTTATGTTTTCGCTTCTCTTCCTATCAAACAGACTTTTCCCTGATATTCTTCGATGTATTTTCATCTCTATTGTTTTCAGTAGTCGTCTCGTCTTAGATGTCTCAGGTCTTGTCTCCGCCCTGTATGTTAATATAGGTCTAATTGCTGCTTTATCGATTCTTGTTTTTGTGTCATTAAGAGATCCCGCTGCTTTACTTGCTTTTAAGCTTTATTGTCGTACTTTTTCTTCAACATCTCCGTAACTAGTTATATCTATTCCCAGATATTTAAACCTTGCTTCCTGCTTTATTATGTTCCCATCAATTTCAGTGGTTATTTAGATGTTGTCATACATTTGGTTTTTTTCTGCTGGAATTATCATATTGTACAAAATATTTGGATTTCTTTGTTCCTCATTCTACAAACACGACCTTTACGTACTGCTTTTATTATTTCGTCTATTATTATATTAAAGAGAAGTGGATTTAACGAGTCACCCTGTCTGACTCCGCTTTGTACTGTATTCGCTTGTAGAAGTAGATGTTTTCGATGATTTGTTTAATATTGATTGGTATGTTTTCCTCTTTACTAATTTCTTTCCAAGGAATACCTTTCCAAGGTGTTTCTCTCTACTAATATTTGACCCTAGTTATGTTGTCTGCTAATGATAACAAACTTTGTTTTGTCCATTTTAATTCTATTCTTAGGAAAAATACTTTTCCTATTGTATATCAATAAAACACTAAAAACTTTGTTTTCAAAACTCCCACAAAATGTATTATAACATCTTATCACTACAGCTGTTTCGACAGAGTTCTCAAGTAATCCATTTTTGTTATGTGTTTACCCTTTATAGTCTTTAACTGAATAGGTTAAGGAGGGGAGAACTGTTTAGTTGGTTATTCAGAGTTATGCCTGTATTTTTTAATTTGGTTATTTCCATAGATTCTAATAAAGATAGATTAAGCCCTTATTGTGGATGTAAAGAATTTGAAATTCATCATTAAAAGAATAATTATGATCTAGAAGATCTTTAAGATGTTCTTTAGATAGATCTTCTAGATCTTTTATGTTCTGTTATACGTTTGTTAAAGGTTCTACTAGTGTGACCGATGTAACTTTTTGGGCACATTGCCACATTTTAAGTTTGTAATCACCACTGTGTAAGTGCTTTTTATTTTAATTCATGTTGTTTTTAATATATTTACCCAAGTTGTTGTTTGTTCTAAAAGCTGGTGTTATTCCTTTCTTTTTTATGTGTTTGGCTATTTTTGTTGATATCTTGCCTGTATTATGTAATCGAGCATAAGGTACTGGATTTTTTCTCTGGTGGTGGAAATACTAATTTTAGGACTTTCCTATGTAGTTTTTGATTTAAAATTTTATTAGTTGTTTATTCATTGAACCCATTGTTTACTGCTATTTGCTTAATGATATTTAATTCTATATCACAGTGGAAAGTCATTGAGTTATGTTGGCACAGAATTATACAAACTATTTTCTTGCTGACGCCAAATTGGTAGCAAGTTACCGAAGGTCTCTCTACTGTAGAAGAAGAAATCTTCACAGACTTTACTGTAAGCGGTAAAATCAAGAGATAATTTAGTTATAAGTTTTTTTTTGAACTTTGGGTGAGAGTGGATGATGCCTTTTCTCCACCGAAAACAAGAGCATTTCATCTTTTATTCATACTTTGAACGTCTTACCTTTACAAAGCCGGATTTTCTGCAGTGGGCGCTTAAATACAAAATATAAGTCACGACTGAATATAGTCAAAGAACTAAGAGTGGCTATTTGTAATATAAAACCTTCAACTTTGCTGTGTGAGACAGTCTCAAGGGAGTCATTTTTAATTCTTAACCCATTTTTAAATTTTGAGGTACTGAGGAGTTTATTATCAGTTATTCTTGGCGTTTGGCAGTACCTACTGCAACAATCATATTAATTTATAATTCTTAATCAGTATAATATTTTAAACGTAGGCTGTATTTACTTAATTTTTTGTAATATCAGAATTAATCTAATTTTGCTTTTTTTCTCTGAATTAATTTTTTTATTTTTATTTATCGGTTTTTTTTTAATTTGATGTACTGGCGTGACCCTCCTCCTTCATCTCTTCCCTCTTAGAGTTGGCGCCCCTGAGGTTGAGAAACTCTGATCTAAAACTTTAACCGCAATGAGTAGATTATAAAGACAAAAAAGAAACTAGATATATTGGCCGTTTTAAAATGATTTATGACATAAATTTTACTATATATGTCTATAAGTTTAAAAACGTATAGCTACATTTTTTTGCTTTTGATAACTTTATACTATTCTAATAAGGTTTTTTATTAAATGTCACTAAGTAAAAAATAATTTTAACTTTTAGATAAGATCGCCAAACCAGTGCAATCGAACTCAGAAGAACAGAGTGCTCCACCAGCAGCCGCCGCTGAAAAAGAAACATCCAAGAAAAGCGCATCATCCGGTAGGAGGAATAGATTCAATGCTAAAGAAAAGAGCCCGGAACCAGCAGCAGAGGAATCTCCAGCACCAGCAGCTACCCCTTCTAGAACGGGAAGAAGATTTGGTGGAAGAAGTTAATTAATTTCTCTTTTATAGTCTTAGATCCATTCAGTTGCTGAAAGAAAAAGGCAAATATTAGTTCTAGAATGATTAATACGGAATACACTATTAAATTGCTTGTTATATTCATGAAAGTATGAACATAAAAGTGTAAAAAAGCATCTGATTGGTTCTGAGTCTATTAGTGTAGAAATAAAATAAAAAATTGTTTGAGTGTGTGAGTTTAGGACTTGTGAATCTGTGAAAAATTGGAAAATCTACTGTATAAAATATACTTTTGACGGAAAATTTTCGTAATAATAGCTTAGTAATAGTTACTTAAAACCTGTTTTCTTAATTTTTGAGCTTATATTAATATGCACATCTTATATTGTTCAAGGAATTTATCACTGTTATTATTGTAAGATTTGTAAATATTTCTACTTGCATCAAAATTTTACCTAAACTCCCGCTCATTTGTCGTTTATCTATATTTTGTTATAAAAAATATTTAAATCTTGAATAAAAACTTTTTAAATTGTAAGAAAAATAAACGTTTTTTATTCTTTGGTATATACAGACGCATTTTCTCAATAAAAACTTTTCATACATGGTGTGCCCTGTAAGAGTGGTTTATACCAACTTTTATATTTCAAATGCACCCTGTACATTGTTTAGTTTTTAAATTTCTCAGAATATTCTAGACATATCTCGTGTACAATGCCCTATACTTATCTTTAACTATTTCTGAGATATTAATGGTTTCAGATTCATTACAAAATTTACTACATCATACACCTGCGACTCACACATATAATGTTATGTTCCTAATACCCTAACAAAGTTGTGCCAGGACAAGATGCCTAGGAAGTTAAACGTTTGAAACTTCGTCCCGTCATCACTCCAAGGCAGTCGGCGTCCAACTAAAAACCTTTCCACTGTCACTCCAGACATCAGGAAGGTAAAACATCTCTCCTGATGCCCTGCTATCACCCGATTCCCATTCTTTCTCCCACACATTCATCGGGGAAACCATACCCACACGAACTACCAAGGACTTTCAACCCCCTTCCTTAGCGAGGCTGTCATCTCTCTCGAATCGTTTGTCTTTCATTCACTCCTATTTCGGTCTGCGACAGTCCGAACCCCATCGAGCTGCTACTCGCTCGTTTTAAAATTCTGATTCAAATTCCCCCCTCTCTTGTTCTTTTAAAGAGACCAGCTCTCTGATAAATTTGTGGATCTGGGTTCACCACCACCCATCCCTCATCATTTTCTCCACCATTTCTTTCACGGAATCAAACATTCTGAAGTTAAATTCCCTTTTAAACTTCTCTTATTCATCCGCCCAATGCTCACACTCCAACATCGTGTGTGTCACAGTATCCGAGAGACCACAGTAAAGACCCTGATCGGACTTCTTTTTCTTTTTCAAGTGCCATCTCCGCGGCGTAGGAAGGCAATCATCATAGCTATTCTAACTTTTCAGACGGTTGCTCTGAAAATTTGAAGTATATCCGTACCACTCTCTCAGGTTGCACAGCCATGACACTCTACGCCTCCCTATGCTTCTTTTTCCTTGGATCTTTCCCTGCATAATCTGTTGAAGAAAGGTGTATTTCTCTCCACGTGCAATATGTCCGAGATATTCCAATTTTCTTATTTTAATTGTATTTAAAATTTCTATTTCTTTATTCATCCGTCTCAGAACCTCTTTGTTTGTGACGTGTTCTGTCCACGATATTTTCAGAATTCTTCTTTATACCCACAGCTCGAATGATTCCAGTTTTTTTATTGATGTATTCAAGGTCTAAGATTTCATTCCATAAAACAAAGTCAAAAAAATATAGCACCACGAGAACGTAACTCTTAGTTCCAATGTTAAATCCCTTGTACATAGCACCCTTCTCATTTTGTTTTGAAATTAGCTTGAGCATTTTCTATTCTGATTTTGATTTCCTTAATTCATCCATATATTGTTAGACCGTATTCTTTTCCATACTCCGCTATTCTGGTCACCAGTCTCTGAAAATCTTCAATATTTTCGGCTAAGATCACACTATCGTCCGCATATCTAATGTTGTTAATGGGAACTCCATTTATCTTTATTCCAGCTGTTTCACCCTCAAGAGACTTACCCACCAAATTGTGTATCATTAACGTCTATGTTCAGTTTATGATATATTCGGTTATAGATGACTTTTAAGGTCGATTCGGACACATCAGTTACGTCACGTCACAGTCCTGGCGCCGAACCGAACTATCCGTCATACAAAATATTCTTTAATAGAAATATGGCACCGGCATTCACATTCATCAGGCGACGAACAGTTTGCCAGCTGTCACATAGTTGATAGTTCTGTGACCAAACAGGACCGGTTCGGCGTCGGGACTGATGTGTCTGAATCGACCTTTAGTAGTAACTTTAGCAAATGAGACATCAAGGTAATGGTGCGGTAATGGCTGCATTTTCTTACGTTTTTCTTTTGGGGAAACAAATAAAAATCGACGTTAACCACTCTTTGGGTAATACGCCTGAACTATAAATTTGGTTCAAGAGGGTCACTAAAACATCAATGTGCTTCTCATCTAGAATTTTTAAGATTTCTATGGGAAGCATGTCAGGTCCAGGGCTTTTCCCACTCTTCATTGTTTTTAATGAGTGTAATATTTCTTCTTTTGTAATATATGGACCTATTTCTTTTGACGTAGGTTCTATATGTTCCATATCTCTTCTTTCATCATCGAAGAATTCGTCGATATATTCTGCCCATCTTTGTACTTTCTCGTCCGTATGTGTTATAGTAGTCCCGTGTCTATCCAGAATTGCATGAGTGGGATTTTGTTTTCTAAGTCCTGCCAGTTCTTTAACTTTCTTGTGTAGGTTAAACAGATCATATTTATTTTGGTCTTTGATCCCTTTTCATTTCTCTTTAATGCATTTTTCTTTTGACTGCTTTGTCATCTTCCTGATCTCGTGGTTTATCTCTCTGTATTTATTGTTGTCTTTCTTTTTAAATTGTCTCCGTTGTTCCATCATATTGATTATCTTATCATTTATTTATTATTCTTTTCTCTTTGCCGAAGTCTTTAGTGGCAGTCACCTGTTGCCTCACACTCTTGCGGCCACTGACCAATTGAAACTAATCTCTCGGCCAGTCTTATCTTAGTCATCTCTCGCTCTCCAATGTTCCGCCCCTTACGGCTATGAATCCTGGCCATTTCACCTGCCATAACTTTTGCACCTGCAATTCTAATCCAACCATATTAACTTTAATTATATTTTTATCAATACAACTTTTGATATCATCGTTTTCGATATACAGATCATGCTGTCCTAGACACTCGTTGATAAGTCCTAATGTGTTAGTGAGATTATGGTGTTTGCTCCGGTAGCGACTTTAGTTCTGTCGAGCCCTGTTAATCCACACGACACTTTTGCCACTAATTGATAATATAATAAATTATAAACCATCTGTATAGTCGTGGTAACGTACGTTTGATACAAAGGCATGGAGAACAGTAAAATATACTGCAATAATAAAGCTATAGGATCTTTAAGTAAAAGAGGCACTTTTGGCTTGTATTCCACACAATTGTCGGACACTCATCCATGCTAGACACATAGCTAAAACTCGTGTAACTCTCACATTTACAGCTAATACGTGAAGTAGAGAAACTATACAATCTTTTGGGTAGAAAGGTGGATCCGCTTGAAAACTAAACGAGTAATCCTTCTGTCTGAATCAATTCGACTTATAGATTTGTTCGCGCTATCGAGGTAACAAATAGAAGCAAATTCTGCAGATTGTGAATTATAGGATTCTCGTTTTTACATTTAAACCTAGCCTTTAATTGGGTACTGTTCGACATATCTTCCATAACTTAAACGATGTAAATGTAAAGAAACACAGCCGGTGATCACCCACAGGCGGCAGCTGCCACAGTCCTATAAGCACATGCTACCCGCAGCAGACTAGTTCTGTCCACGCGTACCATGAGCTTCTTGTAAGTTGGTATTTCTACCGCCTCACTTCAGACTGGAGCCGTTACTATATCATACTGCTACAACAGCATTCCTTTTTGCTGATATGAAATAAAAAAATGTTTTTTATAATAGTATTATTTACTTTAGTCTAAAACGCAAGACCTAGAAAATTGTCGTCTGTCTACATGACAGTAGTAGTTAGTTATTCGTTTGAATTTTATTAAGCGCATATCAGAACAACGGATTATTTAACAGAACTGCACAAAATAACAATTCTAAAGATGATTGATTATGGAGACAATACACAAACACAAATAACAAACAGATTGTCGCTTATATCTCAAGGAACGACTAGTAAAATAGAAAAAGAGATTCGCGAGCTTTTATACATGTAGAGCAGATAAAAAAGAAGCTACCAATGTAATAAGTGATGATCACAAGTTGAATATTATGCTTGAGTTTTAGGAAAACCAACACAGTTCCAGTCGAAAAACAGCCCAAGTGTTTAATGTTAACCATTCATCGATTATTCAAACATTAAAACAAAATAAAATGTATCCCTATAAAATGATACCAACCCAAGAAATGGTCAAAATTTCCACTATTGGTCTATTGAAAATCCATACTGAATACTGGATGACAGAAGAACATACACGACTTACTGAAAAGGTTAATGTATGGCAGGAATTGTTAAAGATCATATCCCAGGTTCCTTTTTGTTGATGATAATTTGAATGGTGATAATTATTTAGCAATTTTTCATAATAATGTCATAAAAACTGTTACAAACATATCCTGATCCAGCAAACCCACAAGTTCCAGCGAATATGATATATAGCAAGATGGAGTACCACCCAATACCAAATCAATGTTCGGCAGTGCCTCAACCAAATATTTCGAAATCAGTGGATAGTGAGGCAAAGCTCTATCGAATTGCCAACACAATCTCCTGATTTGACGCCATAAGACTTCTTCTTTTAGTTATGTATCAAAATATTGTATACAAAACTAAACTCCTCGGTTTAGCTGATTTAAGAAGACTAATAACGCTTTAGATTAGATCGCTCACACTTGAGATGTTAAGTATCATTAGAAGAAATTTCTATTTGAGGTTAGTATGTTGCCAAGACATTCGCGGTGAACATTTTAAACATCTTTCACTATGCAGTGACTATATAACTATATCAATGTATGCAGGTTTTGGTACACCGTAGAATGGCTTTGGTTCGGTAAGAGGAGTATTGCTCCTTCTTTGGTCAGACGATCTGCAATTTAACTACCAAAATTTACTTTACGTCCTGGCAAATAAAGCATATCAATAAAGTTACTGTGTTAAAAGAACTGCTTGTAGTTTCAATCTGTTTCCAATTCATAAGTTCTAGACCTCAGAAACCTGGTTGTCTGAGGAAATAAATATTTTGGAATGAATTAATCGTTTTTTCAGACACTTGAGGACTATTGACAGTCTAATGTTAGAATCAGTGACCCTAGAGGGGATAAGATCTATGGCTAATAAACATAGTTTGAAGCCAAACCTCCCCACACATACATAACCCATAGAG